AAGAGGACGAGGGGGGGGGGAAGAGATAGATAGAGCGCGCGGAGCAGGCGAAGGCAGAGGACGGGAGGCAGAAGGAGAACTTTGGGATTCCGCCTAAGTGGATTGAAGTTCGTGGATATGGACCGGCCGCGGTAGGATGACGAGTTACGTGGCGGCAAATAATGTTTGCACTGCTTTTCGACTCAATCGATGGTAACTGACTAACGCTCGATTGGTCCCTGATAGACATCGAGTGTCGGCGAGGATGAGTCGAGGAGTGTTCGAGAGTGCGGTCAATAGGTTGTCGTTCATAGAAATTATTGTCCGCAGGAATGTCCGCGGCTTTATTTAAAGTGATATCGGCCGCCCGAGATTTTATTCGCCGCGTGAACGATTAAGATTCGAAAAGCAGGGAAGATTAAAATACACGGGGAGGTCGTGCACGTCCTGATTGTTGCGAACAAAAATAACGTCCTTCGAATCTTTCTTTACATACGGACACAAATAAATCTTCGATATTTCTACAAGTTAGAGAGAACTCAGCTTCTAGCGGGCGACGATGCACGAGCAATTCGAAATCGCAAACGTTATCGCGATGAAAAAGTGAAATACTCTGAAATCATCGCACGTTACTGGTCGTGGGCCAACAGTGAAAGTATTGACGGCGCGTTATCGTTCGATAACGTTTGAACTGCACGTTAATCGGATTGTCGGTTGACCTTACCTCAGAACGTGAAACTTTTATGGCTGTTCGGAATACGGGATTTGCTTAGCTTAGCTTAGGTGGCAACACGGGTACGTACTCATGATCAGTAATCATATTAAGCGCGTGTACAGGGTAATCAGATTAGCGGAGCTGGAGGTAATCCCGAAACTATTCTAAGTATGATTAGGCGTCCTTCTCGCAGCGCAGTCCAGTGCCAGTACCTGTACCCACTATTAAGATGACGATAATAGTTTGCCAACTACGCTAGCCTGCGAGGTTACCTGCCCTATGGGTTGCCTAATAATCCCTCTATGAGACTCTGATAACTTTACTACCCATCCTGGATCAACGACGCGTGGACTATGTTCATAATGGAAATGAAGTATCTATTGATTCGAAATGCGATTACATAGCGCTTTCGAAAGATACCGTAATTAATTTCCTTTTCTCACTCTTGTAGCTAGAGCGCTCCCTCGTTCAGAGCGACGTGTTATTTTGAAATTTCTTTCTCGTTCTTTAGGGATCGCTACCCAAACCATTCTGACTATTCCGGTCAGTCATGTCACGAATAATCAAATGGTAAACTTGGCACTCAGCAATGGTCAAGTAGTTTCTACAACACTGGCGAATCTTCAGTCTCTAGCGCAACCGCAAAACATGCTTAACACGCCTACAAGCAATGGTAAGCTCAACGTTTACTTGCTTACAATATAATTCTTTTTCATACTAATGTAATTAAGAGATGTATAACGCATGCAATTAGCCTTTCGCGTTATATGCAGTGATACAATGCAATATTTATTTCTCTCTTCGTGTAAAGCCGTACAATGTCGCTAAATATATTTTTCTGCATTTTAGACGGATTTGTTATTGAAAAATTATTATAGATATTTGTCGGAAAATAAAAATATGATTTATCGATAATATGTGGAATTGCATAGTAATATATTTACATTTAGAATAAATGATTTTTTTAAACGTTTATTAAACGTCATGATATTCGATGTCAAACATTTAAATTAAAGTTTTTATCATTAAATTACTAATATGTAGATATTATTATCGCTCGTCAAAACGCTGAGATGCATTAAAATAATATGATTGTCGTTTACCGTTATCTATATTGCGATTAACACAACATCAGATGTCTACTATGTGCGTATTTACTTGTCCTTTTATCAGTTCCCACGAGCCCTAGCCTGGCATCGGGATTAGGACTGAATCCTGCCGCTTTGCCGCATCTTCTGAGCAATAGCTCGGCTAGCCAACAACTTCTGAGCGCGATGCAGCCTCAGCAATTGCTTCAGGCTGCCCAAGCGGCACAGGCGCAGGCGGCGCAGGCTGTACAAGCCGTTCAGGCTTCTCAGCAACCACTCTTGACAACGTCGCCTCAACAGCACAGCCACCGACACACCTCGCATATGAATCATTACACAGTACGTATAGCTGACTTCTTTCGAAAACATTATCTTTTCGAAAGTAGACAATATGTACAAATTTACTAGTTTAAGTAATATTAGAAGAAAAAAAATTCTCAAAATTGATGAATATTTCAGTTGAAAAATGTTTTTCTTTTACAATAAGCTTTATATTTTCATATATAATTATATTGTTACGAAAACGGTATGTATATATTTCACATTTTAACTACAACCAGTACAAATAACTTTTCGTCAACGATCAACATTCCGCCGTAAAAGATCGAAGAAGATATTTTTTTTCTAGCTTCTCTTTCACATATTTTTCTAATGATGTAAATCGGATTTCTATCGGATCGCGATGCACGGTCGAACATGCGGTTTACCTGGTGCGGAGAGGACCGCGGCAAGATCAGTGGGGCAGCTTGAATAATTTCCAATACCAAGCGATCTTGTTAAGAAAGTATTCCGTACCGGCAGCATTCCTTCCACTAATTAGACTCTAAAGTGTCCCGAGATTCCGTCTCATTATCAAGTGCGCATAATTGGCGTGGAAGAGGAGCATTGTCGTCCCCGATGAACCGCTAATCCGCCCCTACTATTGTATTGTTCACAGTCAACGGAAAAACATCACAGGGAGCGACCGGAGCAGTCGTCACCTTTGAATGAATCCGTAGTATCCGCCGCGTCCGCCTTGAACAGATTGGCCGCCAGCAACGGCGAGATCACTATCACGACGACGCATGGACCCGGTGGTGCCGGAGTGAAGGCCTCCCCGAGCAGTATGCACAGTCCGAAGGAGGAGGAGGACGATCTCTTGAATGATTCACCGAGTAAGACACATTTTATTTTACTCTTTTTACGGCGATATTAATCACGGGGCCGAAAGTCGAAGTGATCCGTGTCAATTGGTTTGCGGTACTTGCTTCAAAATGACGTTCACCTGTGCGCGAAAATGATAATCGAGCTACGCCTTGAGGGTAGCCATGTTACTCCCCTTGACAGCTTTTATAATTACAATTTTCGCCGGGGACACCATCTTCTTATAACGCAATCATCTTGCCTATACGAAGCACAGTCGCTAATGTCGACAAGCGATTGCATGCATAATGATCACTTTTAAAGACGCAATTACCGCATGCAAACACGTCCCTTATCCTTATCTTGCCAAGTTGTCACGTTGATTTTTTTAACAAGATATTAATCACGATTGGTCGCATGTAAATTCGCGAGTGTATATATCTCTGTTAATTAAAGTACACGCATTCGATTCAATCTTAGTTTTACGCACTTTGTTAATTTAAATGACGTTTCGCTTTGACGAAACACCAACAAAGTGTAATATTGTCGCCACGGGAAAAGGCGATTAACGCATGTTGTAACATTCTATGTGTTACATTGATCGTAGAAACGCTTGATAAGTCTAATAGGATATCGTACAACATCGGGCTCATTACAGGGCATTAGTTTGTTTCTTACTACCTTCTAGGAAGCCATAAAGATTTCAACGGCACGCGTAACCTCGAGTTAGCTGACAATAATTTTAATAATTCACAATCATTGCGTAGCAACCGGCACTTCGTCATTCTGACACAATGAAATAATCATTTGTAGCATGGTATCTAACAATTCTCAATTGCTAGTGTCAGATGGGACCATTACTTTATAAATATTTGCTTTTGTTAACTCATCTCTGATTAAATTTCAATGATTTGCGTGGATATTAGAATGTGAAATTACACATAAACGCATACGCACATACATTGCGAAGTAATTACTTAATAATTTTTATATTTCTATTTTGTATAATAGGAACACACACAAGCAATTAAATGATATATTTTAGATGTCGACATTTATAATATTTGCAAATTAATTTCGTAATTAAGATTTACCGATTATCAGAAATCTTATATCACATACTTGTTTTATTTATTTAATACGCAATTTGCAACTTATATAAAAGTTAGTAATCAGTAACCACAATCATGGTCAAAGTTATAGTTTTTTTTTTAATTTGTCAAGTAATTATTCGCGATTCTTGGTCTTCCATTTATCATGTCATATAACGTACCCGCAGCATTTTTTCCTCGAAGTGCGCGAAGTACTTGGAATCTCGATTGGAAATTAACGATCGTAGAAACACTGTCGCGGAAGAAGGATTTGCAGTTTATTGCGCGGCGCAGAAACCAGGCGAACTGGTCGAGATTACGGAGTATGTGGGCATTTCTATTGCGTGCGTATACATTCGGGGTGACAGATTTACGGGAGAAATCGGTGTAGCAGCTCGAGCTGCTTTAACGAAGCCGCCCGATGTCATTAAGCAACCTTCTCGCTAGGACTTCAATATATTCCGACAAATCGAATCGAGTGAAACGTACGCTCGAATGATCGACTATAGATCCTTAACTTGCGCAACAAGCATTATTAGAATCATTATAAAATTAATCACGGCAGTGTGAATTTGTCACATTAATCTCTAACCATGAATTGCATCTCATTTACGCTTAGCGCTGTTTCCGCAATTAGCTCGCTACGTGATTTATGTAATTAAAAATTCATTGAACATATTGCAACGAGTGCATTGGAATCAAGTTTTCAATGTTTCCAATAAACAATAAAATAGTACTATAGGAAAGGTTTGGAATAAAATTAGAAATATTAATTTAATACTTTTCAATGTTTATTGCCGATTTATTTAGGATTAATTCAACATAAAACTAGATTTTATTTTTATTTTTTTTTCAATAGATAAAAATCTTAATACCGATAAATTTCGATATTTTTATATTATGGTTTTTATTTTATTTATCAGAAATAAAAATAGAACGTTACGCGAATTTTTATTACAGACCAACCAACGATCAATGAGGCCACTAACAACGTAGTCGATGGGATCAATTTGGATGAAATCAAGGAGTTTGCAAAAGTCTTTAAACTACGCAGACTGTCTCTAGGTCTGACACAAACCCAAGTAGGGCAGGCCCTGAGCGTCACTGAAGGGCCCGCGTACAGCCAAAGTGCCATATGCAGGTTAGTTGTTTTCCTCCTCGCGTTTGTCGAAACGGACGTCGCTAATAAAAATTCAATAATGTGGTAGAATGTAAAACGACAGTGTGCCAGGTCACTGGAAATGGCGTAGAAAGGGTTGGGATTTGTTCAGAGCAGCAAAAAGGAATAGTTACTCGTGTTCGGTGGTTTTATAACAACATTTTTCGTTAGGAATAAGCGCCCGAGCGTGAAACTAAAAGAAAAATTTCGAAGTGGTTTTACGTTTTTTTTTCTTCTTTGTGTGATAATTTTTAGCAAAATTACTTTTCACGCGTTACTTATCGCAACGTTTGAAATTCGTTCAAAGGCTGGAAAAAATTTGATGTAGCTTTCGCAGGCGCATTATTCAATTTCGAGTGCCATGTTAAACTTATTTATACCGTAATCCACCGCGGTGGTTCCTGCAAATTTATGCTGCGATTTGAATCAAGATCCAATCTCCAAAATTATCAATTAAATAGAAACTGCTTATTCCAACATTTGTAGAAATTTCACGAATTTCTATTGTGTTGTTAAACGTACAATACATTCAATACTTCAATTTTTGTCACGCTACTTATCTTCTTCGTTGAGAGAGCGCGCGCTTTGAAATGCGAATAGGAACCATCGTGGTAATGCCGGTAACAAGCAAAGAAAATATTTATACCTCTCGGAAAATTCTTATCGTATCAACTAATATAAGCATTGGTGATTGTTCCCCAGTGCCCTGGCTACCCAGATGTACGCTGCCTCGCAGATTGCCTCTCAGCAGCAAGCTACGTACGTTCACCCCTCATGCTACTTAATTTACCCAAAAATCTAAAGCTCGAAAGTCCTTTAAGAAACCGCAGTTATACCCAACAATGGAAAATCGAGCGTAGACTTTCCGACAATTATGAGAAGGAATTTTGTAAAATATAATCAATTAACGACACATATCACAAAAAATTAAAATATACGACAGTTCACTTCTCCATCTCTTCGTCACTTGCGCTCGTCCGATTCGCAATCGGTTCTCTCCCGTTTAGAACCGATAGGCATATTTGGGTATAGCTGCACAAGCACTCTCACTAATTTCTAATTCTGTCCGGAAAAGAGATGCGAAAGGAGCACTTCTAAAATTAACTCTCTTCGAGCCAGGGCATTGGCAAACTTGGGCATGATGTCGCCAACGCGCTAAGAATAAAAATATAGAACGAAACCGAATCGTGATTTTTAACGTTTGTCGATCGCATCACGATTACTGAGAGACTCGATCGGATTCACTTTGCTCGCACGCGCGAGAAGCGTTTGTGTAGCGCGTTGGCAACATCATACACGGTATCACCAAACCTTAAAGCATGCACGCATTGTCAATGTCCTGTTAATGAATCAGTGCATGCCTTTTAGTGCTCCTTTAGTGGGACAAAGACGATAAGGGCGAAAAGCGAAAAAAATAATTTTAACAATTTTGAGTTTCCCAGTCTTTTAATATTGCGTATTATATGATTGAAATTGAATATTTTATCAATTTACGTCCTTATTGTCTTTTCTCGACGCATATTCGTTTCTTTTCAACGTCTTTATTAATTTCTCAAAGGAATAAAAGCACAATAAATCAAGCGTTCTTCTTAACTTTAGATTCGAAAAGCTGGACATTACGCCGAAAAGCGCACAGAAAATTAAGCCCGTTCTCGAAAGGTGGATGAAGGAGGCAGAAGAGAGGTGAGTAATATACTCCTACAATACTTTCAAAATTATTCGTAAATACTGTGAGAGAAAATATCATTTTTAAAAAAAGATTAGCTTTCAACATGTACTTACGTAAAATATCAGAAGCGCAACTTTCTCTTAACTATACCATAAAAACGAGTTAATTAATTTGAAAAATAACTATAATTCTCCAGTCCGAGATTCTCCAATTATGTGTCAAGTCCTAATGCTATATTTCTGATACACGATTATTTCGCAATCGTCCAGTGCGGTCTCGACTTTGCGTCTGCGCACCGGTGCGAGAGCGTGCGAACGCGTGCGTGCTAATTGGTAATTCGCTAATTGAATCCGCTTGATTAATTGCGGATTCGCGTCTAATAAATACGTGGAATGTTAATTAGAATGGGAGAAACCGTTACCGCGCGATCGCGCGAAACGGCTACTCGCTCGTATCAGCAACGCGCCAATGCGGTCATGCTAGCTTTACCGTGTCGCAAAGGATCACCGATCCTCTCTAAGAATCTCAGATCAGAGCTATGTATCCACAAGGTGTAAATTTTACGAGCTGATAAAATCTAATGAATTCTATGTGTTCTAATCAAGGATCCATGTAGTTGCGCTAGAATTAAAATGCGCCGCGATACAGTTTTGACATCGTGCAAAATGATAATGCATTCTCCACATAATTTTATGGCGTATAACTTATAAAATTAGATTGGATTAAATTGGATGAAACTTACCGCGGTTAAGTGGTACATTATTGTTATCATTGTATTTCTGATTCTTATCCGCACCATTCTTGCTTAATTAGTGTATAATCCGTGTGTTGCTCAAAAGAAAAGCTGAATGTTATTTAGTTTCCCGTTTAATCTAAATATAACCACATAATCTCACGGCGCGAGATAACAATGTATGAACTTTTTATATGAGTTTAATACAATCCAAGATTAGACGTTCGTATTAAACGCTAAGAAATGAGGAATGTAAATGTAAATCTTTGTAAAATTACAATTACTAATATATAAATAAACTAGAGAAAAGACTATAACTGTATAAAAAATACAAGAGCAAACGATGATAATTGCTATATTTTAACGCACGAGCGAAAAATTGACGAGGAAACGCGGCACCGATAAAATCGAATCATTTGATGACGGAAGCGGCGATGAGTGCGGTCGTTTCTCTTTTCACGGGGGAAGCCAGCAACAATGACCCATCCTGCATTCGCGCGGCGTAGAACTAAGCGTCGACCGTGTGCCGGCCGCGTCCGGGAAAAATGAAAGCGGCTAGTTTATGCGGTGCACGTGCACGATTTATCTGCCGAGTAATTAAACTGTGGACTAATTAAAATCAGGTTTCTGATGTACCTCTCCCCCTGCATCTCTCCTCCTACCACACCACCGCCGTCACCTCGCTCTTACCAGCGGCGGCACCACGGTGCGGCGCGACGCTCTCCGTCATTCCTTCCATTCACGGCTTCCATCTTCCTTCTTCTCTTCCGTCTCCAGTCTTCCTTCTGCTCCTAATATCTTCCTTCTTTCTCTTCGTTCGTTCAAATCTCTCTACGCGTCTTCCTCTCTCATACTCACACGCAACGGTATGTACATGCACCCACGCACAGGCTTATACGCAGCTTCCTCGTTCTCTCTCCGCATCCTTTACGTATTAACTCACGTTTGTTTCTCCTTTTTCTTCGCCTTCCTCTTCTTCCTCTTCTTGCGCTTGGCATTTTCCCCTTGCACTCACCAGTCACCACGCATACCAACGACGCGGCATCCCAACCCCGTCGAATCGTCGAGCCGGTCGGTTCTTCGCGCTCTCACCGACTTCTCCATTAGCATATTGTTTTCGCGAATTCGACGAAATATTACTGCGCAATGCTAATGGCCCGCCGTGTACTTTTTTTCGACTCGACAGTTGGTCATTCGGAGTTAAATTAAAAACATAAATTTTGAGCTGGTATCGCGCGACTGTACCTATGACCGTACCACTATCAAGCTTCCTGCCCCCGCAGCCGTCCCGTACCGCCTCTCATCGCTCACGCGGGAGTCCCAACGGAAGTTCTCCTGTTTACTGTCGCGGTCGCGAGCTTTTTCCATGTCGCGCCGCACCGTACAACTCGATAATATTATCCGTCGAATGAAATTATGTCGAGTAGTCGCACAATGTCAAAAAAATTTGCGTATTCTTGAGATCGGATCTCTTCTGCAAATTCCTTTTAACTTATTTGTTCAAGATACAAGCAAGAGTAATTAAATAATTAATATCAGTTATTGAGACTGTTGCATCGTACAACGTGATGAACAGTTATTAATATTTAATAACACGCGGTTATTTAACTTAGCCATAAAAAATAATTAAGAAGCAAGAAATATCGATTTTATTATTTGATAATCAATATATCGGCTTGCTTAAAATCTGGAATAAATTTTTTTATTAATTTAATTCTATTTATAATAATGATAAATTTAAATAATAAATGGACACACAGATTTATTTTTTGAAGACTATTTATTTATATAAGATCAAGTGATTTGCTTGCATTTTTTGAATATTTAAAAATTACTGAAACAGATAATATTTAAATATATAAATTATTCGAAATTTAATATTCGCATTAAATATCACATCACGAGAGAAATGAAATTTACTTCGAAAGCATCGCAACTATTTGATCGCTAATTTTATTTAAATCGGCATCGGCGTCGGCGTCGGCGTCGGCGTCGGCGTCGACACCGACACTGATGCCGATATCGCGAACTCTGTTTCGTGATACGCGGAGTAAGTTCGACTCGTGAATCAACTTGGTGTGTATCCGGGAAAAATCCAATACCGGATAGGATATTTGCGACCAAACGTGTCCGAGCACGAATATTGTGATGCTGGCGATTTCCTTTTTCAATCAGTATCCTATTTCGCGTTCTAACGTAATTACGAGCGTGCAAAACAGTAAACAGAATTATTTTTTTCATATTGAATTTGCAACAATATTTCACAAACCGCAAGAGAAATGTTGAACTCAATGTAGATGTAGACTTGCGGATGCGATGAATTATTGCATCAGCGTAACGATTAACAGGTCAATCTTTTAAACAGGATCCTGTTTTGCGCAAACAGAAACGCATACATGTCGACAAAGATATAACGCGCATAATAATTACGATAAGCATCGACGACGCAATCTTCCGAATTTGAGCAAGAGTAGTTCATCTGATTCCAGATACAAAAGCGGCGTTAATCATCTGACGGACTTCATTGGGGTCGAACCGAGCAAGAAACGAAAACGACGGACCTCCTTCACACCACAAGCTTTGGAATTGCTGAACGCACACTTTGATAGAAACACTCATCCTACCGGTCAGTTATATTTTCTACTATTGTCTTTTGCTATGGCTCTTGTTAATCCTTTTTCAGATCTATCCCAATTT